CAGATGTCCTCCCACGCTGACAGAGCACAGCAGAATGCATGGAGGCAGTCAATGTCAGAAAAGCACAATATGAAAGAGGAGAGGTGGCGGGCTGAATCACGGGCTGAAGAGAGCAAGTGGTGGGCTGAAGAGGATAGGTGGCATCAGCTTGCTGACAGAAGGCAAGAGTTGATGCTCCAGCTGCTGGAGCATCAAACTGATATGCTCCAGTGTATGGTTGAGCTGCAGGAAAGGCATCAGGAGCAGAGACCGCCGCTACAGCCCCTGTGTAACCAACAGCCCTCCTCCCCAAGTTCTATAGCCTCCTCACCCAGACGCCCAAGAACGCAGTGGGGGGGCCTCCGGCCACTCCACCCCAGATGATTGCCCAAGCATCAGAAGGCTGGCCTTCAATAAGAGTTAAAGTTTTAAACTGCAGGGTGTCCTTGTCCTTCCCTCCTCCCCCACCCCTCCCGGCTACCTTGGCAGTTATCCCCCTAGTTGTGTGATGAATTAATAAAGAATGCATGAATGTGAAGTAACAATGACTTTATTGCCTCTGCAAGTGGTGCTCGAAGGGGGGAGGGAAGGGTGGTTAGCTTACAGGGAAGTAGAGTGAACCGGGGCGGGGGGGAGTGTTCATCAAGGAGAAACTAGTAGAACTTTCACACCGTAGCCTGGCCAGTCACAAAACTGGTTTTCAAAGCTTCTCTGATGCGCACCGCGCCCTGCTGTACTCTTCTAACCGCCCTGGTCTCTGGCTGCGCATAATCAGCAGCCAGGTGATTTGCCTCAGCCTCCCACCCCGCCATAAAGGTCTCCCCCTTACTTTCACAGAGATTGTGGAGCACACAGCAAGCAGAAATAACAATGGGGAGATTGGTTTGGCTGAGGTCTGAGCGAGTCAGTAACGATCGCCAGCGACCTTTTAAACGGCCAAATGCACATTCTACCACCATTCTGCACTTGCTCAGCCTGTAGTTGAACAGCTCCTGACTCCTGTCCAGGCTGCCTGTGTATGGCTTCATGAGCCATGGCATTAAGGGGTAGGCTGGGTCCCCAAGGATAACTATAGGCATTTCAACATCCCCAACAGTTATTTTCTGATCCGGGAAGAAAGTCCCTTCCTCCAGCTTTTGAAACAGACCAGAGTTCCTGAAGACACGAGCATCATGTACCTTTCCCGGCCATCCCACGTTGATATTAGTGAAACGTCCCTTGTGATCCACCAGGGCTTGCAGCAGCATTGAACAGTACCGTTTTCGGTTTATGTACTCGGTGGCTTGGTGCTCCGGTGAGAAGATAGGGATATGGGTTCCGTCTATCGCCCCACCACAGTTAGGGAATCCCATTGCAGCAAAGCCATCCACTATGACCTGCACGTTTCCCAGAGTCACTACCCTTGATATCAGCAGGTTTTTGATTGCGTTGGCTACTTGGATCACAGCAGCCCCCACAGTAGATTTGCCCACTCCAAATTGATTCCCGACTGACCGGTAGCTGTCTGGCATTGCAAGCTTCCACAGGGCTATCGCCACTCGCTTCTCAACTGTGAGGGCTGCTCTCATCCTGGTATTCTGGTGCTTCAGGGCAGGGGAAAGCAAGTCATAAAGTTCCATGAAAGTGCCCTTACACATGCTAAAGTTTCGCAGCCACTGGGAATCGTCCGACACCCGCAACACGATGCGGTCCCACCAGTCTGTGCTTGTTTCCCGGGCCCAGAATCGGCATTCCATGGCATGAATCTGCCCCAGTAACACCATGATTTGCACATTGCTGGGGCCCGTACTTTGGGAGAGGTCTATGTCCATGTCAATTTCTTCATCACTCTCGTCACCGTGCTGCAATCGCCTCCTCGCCTGTTTTTGCTTTGGCATGTTCTGGCTCTGTATATACTCCAGGACAATGCGCGTGGTGTTCATAGTGCTCATAATTGCCGCGGTGATCTGAGCGGGCTCCATGATCCCAGTGCTATGGCGACTGGGCTGAAAAAAGGCACAAAACTATTGTCTGACGGAGGGAGGGAGGGGCGAGTGGTGACATGGCTTACAGGGAATTAAAATCAACAAAGGTGGCTGTGCATCAGGGAGAAACACAAACAACTGTCACACAGAATGTCCCCCCCAAAGATTGAACTCAAAACCCTGGGTTTAGCAGGCCGTTGATTTCACGGAGGGAGCGGGAAGCAAATGAATACAGAACAAATCTGGTCCATCTATCTTTTACATCTTAAGCTGGCAGCAGACAGTGCAGCATGACTGATAGCCATCAGCATCTTCTGGGTGCTTGGCAGAAAATGGTGCATTACGACTGCTAGCCATCATCGTCAAGACGGTGCAATAGGACTGCCGGCAGGACTGAGTCTCCAGGAGACAAAACATGTCTGCCCAGGCGCCTCTGACCGAACTCACTGAGGAGTACGACGATGATGGATACCAGTCATAATACAGTATCTGCTGCCAAAAGGCAAGGAGCGGCTGCTGTATAGCAATGCAGTCCCACGTCTGCCAGCACCCAGATAGCCGACGAAGGCTACCAGTCATACTGCACCGTCTACTGCCAAAAGGCAGTTAGCTGCTGCTGTGTAGCAATGCAGTACCACGTCTGCCGGCACCCAGATGACATATGGTGACGGTGAGCTGAGCTGAGCGGGCTCCATGCTTGCTGTGGTACGTCGTCTGTACAGGTAACCCAGGTAAAAAGGCACAAATCGATTGTCTGCCATTGCTCTGATAGAGGGGTAGGAGCCTGCCGACATGTACCCAGAACCACCCACGACACTGTTTTTGCATCATCAGGCATTGGGATCTCAACCCAGAATTCCAGCAGGCGGCAGAGACTGCGGGAACTGTGGGATAGCTACCCACAGTGCAACTCTCCGGAAGTCGACGCTAGCCTCGGTACTGTGGACGCGGTCCGCCGACTTAATGCACTTAGAGCATTTTATGTGGGGACACACACAATCGACTGTATAAAAACGATTTCTATAAAACCTGCTTCTATAAATTCGACCTAATTTCGTAGTGTAGACATACCCTGAGAGAGTGTAGAGGGCGTAATGGGGAACCGGGCGATGGTGGGCTCTTTCCAATTTCTATTTAGGTCATCACTAGAGTTCTTCAGAGCAGAAATTGGCTGAGTAAATTTATCTTTGACAACACACTTGTCAAAATACCTGTGGTGCCCATCTTCACCACTTATTTCCCCCCTATTCTGTTTCCACATCCTCTGGGAAATCAGAAAACATTTCGTCAAGCTAACAAGGTGTAACCAGAATCATTCCCAGCAAAGAAAACTTACTGTCTCTCCATCTCTGTCATGATGATTGGTAGATAAATAAGCAGGGCCTTGTGTATTCAGAAGCCACAATATTTTTTGAAGAATCCTACCCAACAAGTCCCCCTTACTGCAAACTGTATTCCAGATTCCAAGTTTTCATTTATAAAAGAAACATGCATTTCTTATTTAAAATTTCTATTGTAGTTGCAAAGATTAAATTAACCTTCAAAATATGAATTGAGTGCATGTAATGATGCGTGCAAGCAGGCTTAAACAATAGTTCAAAGACATGTAAACTGCTTTCCTTCATCTCAAGGTGGAATTAGCACCAGACCCCAATGACGACAATTTAAGGGCTTGATCCAATTCTCATCTAAGTTAATGGAAAGACTCTCACTGACTTAAATGAGAATTGGATCAAGCCAAAAATGTCCATAGTGTCAATAAGAGCTGGTTGAATTTTTTCATCGGAAATTGTTTTTCTTTGAAAAATTGCAGGTTTGTCCAAATTGACACATTTTACAAAAACAGTTCGATTTCAAGAACCTTTTTGATTTTTCAACAAAACAATTAAAAAACCAAACTAACATTGTTTTCTTTTCAAAACTGAAATTTTCACCACTTTTCAAAAACAGAAACCAATGGTTCAATTCCAGATGAAATTAAAATTTTCATTTTTTCAATAAAAATATTAAAAATCCAATTTTTGGTGGAAAATTTTGACCAGTCCTGTTTGTTAACCGTTTGTGCTAAAAAGATCATTAAAAATCATACAGCCTAATGGATTCGATCCACAGTCCCAAACTGCCTTGCATGCCTTCCCAGGTGCTATAAAACCGGAATGATTGTCTAACAGTCAAGGCACCAAATATACTGTAATTCAGGCCATGTGGGTTTCATTACTATTTCTGTCACAGGATTCTTGTGTGAGCTGGACAAGTAACTGAAGACGAGTGCTCAAAAGGAATCAGGCTCCTAATTTCTATTTAAATCAGTGGAAATTAATCAATGGAAGGAGCCTCGCTCCTTTTGAGTATTCAGCCCTTAATTTTTTAATGCTTCCGTATCCTCTCTCTAACAACTGGGCTAATAATATTTATCTACGTCATCAGGATGGTGGCAGGACAAATTAATTAGCATTGTGATGTGCTTAAATAGTAAAGTGATAAATCTAAAAATACCTATAAAAATTGAGCCTCAAGTGTCCCCCTCCCGGCTACCCAAAACACCAGTCTCCACTGATAACTTTTACATTGTTGTGTTGATAGTAAAAAAAAAAAGTTGGTGTTACACTGAAAATTTTAGGGCAGAGAGCACTTAACTGAATTCATTATTAAAATAAACAACAAGTGATATCATACTGACTGAATTATTCATTCTCATATTTAAGTCAATAAAAACCCTACATAGAATTTTCAGCCCGAGGCATGGGTTTGCCACAGGAACCATGGGGCCTTGTCCCAGAAAGCATACAGACGTCTCTAATTCCGACCCCACCCCCAATCCTCAGAGCACATAGTGATAGACTGCTGTCCCCTGCACCAAACCCCAATGCAGTGCTGAACTCAGAATAGGATCCTCTCTCTTTCTCCCTCCTCACAACACAAACACTTTCCTCTCCTCTTTCTTGGAAGTCTGTTTCTCGTTATCTCCCCCATCCAAAAATGGGGCTGAAGATATGCTAGTACAAAATCTTGCAGCCAAGAGGACATTAACACTGGTCGTATATATCACTCACTGACCCTCTTTCACTTTCACACTGTAATCTCTGTCTTCCTCCATGTGCCGTACTCTGCAGATCAGCAATTGGCCTGCCAGGCTTGTAGAACTGTTGACATAGAGTTTGCTGATGACGGACACTGTTCCATTGGGGTGCGTGACCACCTCTTCTGTCTTTTCACTCTCAGCTTTTGGCACAATCCAGGAGATCACAGGACGAGGCCAGGCATTAGCAGAACAAGTGGCTGTCAGGTTACCTTCAGAGACGACATAATGGAGAGATCCTCTCAGCTGCTCTGAAACACATAAACACAAGGAGCTTTTGACCAAATGGAATAGCATCGAAACCAATGTACCTCATTGCATTCTGAGGCAACCTGAGGGAAGGAATACAAACAAGTCCCCCACCCCAGGCCCTTGCAATGATTCATTCCCTATTCCCTTGTTCCCTTATATTGAAGGGAACTATCATGGAGGCGTTAACTTCTTTTATGACCCCAGAATTGAGGGTTTCTACCAAGAGATAAATCATGTGGCTGCTTGACAATGTTCTCCTAGCTGCTACCAATAGTGCTGTGCAGTGAGGAGGCTCACGCAGCCCGAGTCCTAGCCATGTCTGGGAAGACCCTGCAGGGAGGAAGTTCTCCCTCCATGAGTTTTAGCTGGCACTCAGAGGATGCTCTGTTCTTAAAGTAAGAACGCTCACAGTGAGAGTCTCCACATGCAGTAACATGGGCCTGCAGAGAGGCAGCTCACATTGCTGGAGTCCCTCTAGCAGTGATAGCTAGGGTATTCTTCTAACACAGTTCCAGCTAATACAGACCTGGTACTGCTGTTGGGAAGTTCCCAGTGCTGGAGTCCTTGATGCAACTGACCAGTGAATGCTGCGAGCTAATGCTGCTGATAGAAAACACCTTCCCTTCCCTTTAGAGATTTTGCCCCACAGAGAACCTCACCATAGACAGTCAAGCAGGAGTCTTGTACGATGGCTCCTGTGGGAAAGGTATTAAAGATGCATGCGTAACATCCGTCATCCTGGATTCTAACTCTCCAGAGGGTAATGGTCGTATCATTTAGTGACAGGCGTGTGAAATTTAATCGACCTCGATATTTTTCAACAATATTTACTCCTTTAGATACACTGTATGTGGCCAAATTTTCATTCACTCCAGTATTTTTCTTCTGCCATGTAACTTGCAGAACGTCATGTGACTCCTTCAGGAAGCAGCTCAAGGTCCCGTTGCCACCCACCTTCACCACGTTTTTCTGTGTCACTGTGTCCGCTGTAGTGATATAAAACAATATATGAAATAGACAAATATCACCTTCGCTCATGCTTAGAAATCTCTTGCTGACTTTCTGGGCCAGATAACTGGCAGGTGTAAAATGGGGCTATTCTATTGACCTCAATGGAGCATTGTTGGTTTACACCAGCTGAGGTCCTTGGCCTCCATCTTTATTAGACCATCAAAAAGGGAAAGCCACTTACTGCACCTCCTTACCAACCCCTCTAAACACCTACCTCCACTTGATTAAATCCACATACGGCTTCTGTTCTCCCAACAGATTTTTTTTTCTAATAAGAGGTTAGAGGAAGACTGGATAGCGAGGAAGACTGGATAGCAAGAGAGACCCAAAGCCATTCCCACAGAATCATATGGAGAAAGAATCCATTAAATTATCTATGCACACAGAAAAAGAGGGAGACTTAGATTAACTGGTTTCTGAGACCAGTGGTTCACAAAGTTATTTGCTTGTGTCCCCCTTCCTTCTGTCTGTAGTAGTTTATGCCCCACCCCTGCCACACAAGTACACATACTGATAAAAAAAATCCACATGCAACTCTCACTAAATAGTAAAAACATTAAGGCATTGATTCAAACAGAGCCATTTAAGTATATAGTAATGTAAATTTTAAGTGAGATACTGCTTACTGGCATCACACTGTTGTTACTGGTGTGATGGCTGCACCTTGTTTGTTTTTTTTTTTTTGGAGAAGAGCCATTCCATCTTGGGTTGGTAATACCATGCCATGGCATGCTTACTTCTGTGCTGCTAGCGTTGGCGTTGCTGCCTTCAGAGCTGGGTGCCCGACCAGCATCCACTGCTCTCCGGCAGCCCAACTCTGAAGGCAGCCAGCTCCCAGAATACATTCCGTGTCCCCCAGTTTAAGAATCTCTGTCTTAGAGGACCCAGCGAGGTGTCACTTCACTTCACTGATGGAGCCTCAGGAATCAGAGACCAGCCCCCACACTCCTTGTAGAAATCTGAGAGGAAATTCCATTGGCCTTACCTTCTGTCCTGCAGAGCATGATAAAGACCACACTCAACATCAGACCTTGGTAAGTCATCTGAGAACTGAGCTGTTCTTTCATCTGGAGATGCAAGAGAAATTTGATACATGAAGTTATGGGCTTAACAGTAGATATATTTCCAATGATAATGCTCCCATTTATGGAGCCATGACAAGACCGCTCTTGGATGTGACAGGAACACATTTGCAAACTGCAGAGAAAGTCCATTCTAAAGGCTCCATTACACTACCAAATGTGATTGTGGTGTAGGAGCTGGAAAGTTACCTGAAGTTAAATCTCTTTCCTCCCGCCCACCCCCAAAGTTCCACATTTAGAGCTAGAATTTCAAACAAGCTCTAAGGAAGTGTAACTCACACACCTTCTGGGTGTGATGTTCTGTCCCATCTAGTGGCACTGAGACCACTTAAAGAGAGAGCAATTAGTAAGTCCGCTCTACAGCCTTAGCTAACAGCTCATGTGGTAGAGGCTCATGCACTAAGCTCCAGAGATCCCTGGTTCGATACTACCCGCCAATTGCGCCACAAAAACCTTTGCACATGCACTGTATGTAAAATAGGCATTTTCTCGTGTAAATCATGTTTGTGCACCCAGCACCTATATACATGGAAAACAATTAGGTCATCCAAGTAGAGAGGGACCTCCAGGAGATTCATGTCTCCAACTGTTCACACCATTAATCTTTGAAAGGTAGCTGGAGCCCCACAAATGCTGTGGGGGCATCCTCTCAAATTGGTAACATCCAAGTGGACACATAAAAGCAGTTCCCTCTTTATCCACCTTATTCACAGGTATTTGATAATATCCACTGAGAAGATCTAATACAGTAAACCATTTACTTCCATCTAAGCAGTTAAGGACATCCTCAATCCTTGGCATTGAAAATTGGTCTGGTACAGTGAGCTTATTTAGAGTTCTATAAGCTACACACATTCTGTCAGATCCATTCTTCTTCCTCACTACAACAATTGGAGAGGCATACGGGCTTCGTGACTAAGAAATTATTCCAGTGGCCATCAAATCACGTAAGTGTTTCTGAACAACTTCCACATCAGCTGGGGCCAGGCAACGGGATCATTCTCGAAAAGGTTGAGAGTCAGTTAGACGGATAGGGGAATCTCCAAAATCAAAACAATCGGGTGTCAAGTCATAAGTGTTGCTCTTGACTGCTACAATATGCATCTGAGGTAGTACATCAACTGGGAACAACTGGGCAATCACTGTCCCACGCCGAATGATCACTTTGTGAACAGATACATTTCTAACAGTAACTGTGATCCTTCTAGTAGACACTACCGTAGCCGCTTGCACCTCAGGCCTGACCACAAATCTTCCAGGTAGAGACATTACCTCTGGTGTTTCCAATAACAACAACTGACCTGTAGGCTGAACAGGAAACTTAGGGATCTTAGTCACTTGAGGGGTGCCACCGGGTGGTATGTGGACAGTTCTTTTCTGTGAGTACCACACACTGCCGTACCTATTGGCATCCTCATCAGAAACAAAGAGATTCTCCTTGGAAGCATTTATAGGCTTCACGTATGTTAGGGTGATAGGGAAGGTATTGATGTATTGTTCCCCCATGGTTTCCTTGCATACTTTGAAAAATCACCGGAGCAGACTGGTGTTGGTTCCAACCAAGATTGAGACATTACTCTTGACACAGGGGTCTGGGCATACTAGGACTAAAGTGTCCAGCTTCTCGGGAACTCCCAGAATGGACTGTGGGAACTCAATTTGAATGGACAAGTATCCCTCAAATGGGTATTTTTGATTACTCAACCACCAGATTTCCAAATTATCTCAGGGCTGGATAGGCAAGTGACGAAGGTGGGTGTTGCAAAATATTTTATATAGCATGGTGACCGGCGAACCAGTGTCCAGAGGGGCATGAGCATAAATGCCTTCTACTTGAACAGGGACAATGGGAGCTGGACTGACCAGTCCTAGGGGCAAATCCCTTCAGCTACTAGCAATCTGTTGGTGACACCTAGTGGAGCGTACCTTCCTTGATGCCCCAGTTCACTCCTTCACTGGGCTTCTCTGAAGTTTTCCGAATTCTTTCTGGCTTGGATAAGCTTGCGGGCGACTTTCTGTAAATCTTCTTCCGCTTCACAGTCTTGTTTTGTGTGACCATTCTCCCCACACTTGTAGCAGAAGAAGTCACTTCTACAAGTAGTTTCCACATAGCCTCTTGAACGACGGGTGGTAATATCAGCCACTGCATCATTGGTTCTCAGAAGGGCATCCCTCCTTTGTAACTGACGGAATCTGTCAGGTTTTCCACTAGAGTATTCAGCTGGAGTAGCTGATTAACTTGCTCAGTTAGACACAGCAGGCCCTTCTTTAGGTCAGCTATTTCATCATGAGGAGCCACAGCGGTAAGAGTGCATACAGAAGCTGCAGGTATGCGGCCAGCTTCCCGAGCAGCCAGTTCATCCTCCTCTTCCCTGATATCCCGTACCAGTCTGGAGAAGGAGGGGGGATTCCAAAGTGAATCAGAAAGCTGCAGCTTCAGGGCTATCAGGTTGCCAGGACAAAGCACCCTTCAGTACTTGCTCCATCCTCACCTGATCATTCCCTTCTTTACCAGTGCCTTATGTAGTAGTTTCACCAGACGGCATATGTACTGTGAAAGTTTTTCACCTTCTTCTTGCTATGTGGACCTGCTATGCCACCACCAAGCTCCCAAGAAAAGGCATTCAACATAAACAGAAGACATTTTATTACGACGTCCTCATTAGTAACATTCCATCTCTGAATCCCAACAAAATACTACTGTGTCCTGGGCCTTTCATCTTATGCACACAGCTTCTAATTCATTTACTGTCACTGTGACAGCTACCCCCTCTCAGCCTCCTTGGCTCACAAAGGGACATTAAATTAATGTGGGGTGGGGAACACTTGACAACGATAAAGAAAAACACTTTTCTGGAGAGTGACCTCACCCAAGGCAAGGGTTTGCGTTTCAGGAGCAGAGAAGGAAACAGATGTGACAAGAACAATAAGAAGTGGAGCATTACTCAGGAGAAAAACAAAATTCTTGCATTGTCCATGGAAACACAAGAGACATAGTAAAAATAAGAAGTGCCCTCCAGTGAGATAGTAGGAAAAAGATAAAGACTGACAGACAGACAGAGAATGAGAGGAAAGGTACCTAAGAAAATAGCTGTTTCCCAGGACACCTGATCACTGAAAAAAATCTCTCCTTGAACCCAGAGTCCTGCTGCCATGCAATCAGCCCTTAGGGCTTAACAACAACAAAACCCATAAGCCACTATTTCTTATTATTGTTAATAATAAATAATAATAATACCTGCCCATCAGGGTACTCTCCAAACACATGCATTCTATTTAATAAATCATGTAATGCATATAGTCAATGATGCATTTGTAAGGAGATGATGTAAAACATCTAGTTCCTGGTTAAATTCAGCTTGCCTTGATGCACTGCCAAGTCACTTAGTAATAACATTCCTCACTATGGTGGCATTTGATTCAGTTGTTCTCAGTGACTTCAATCTGCATGCAGATTTTAAATCTTCTAAGGCAGTTTAGGGTTTCCTGGGTGCCAAGAGGACCATGGCCTTTGAAGGATCAGGCAGGTCTGCCCTCAGAAATTAATGTAGCCAGAAATATTCCAGAACACTCTGAGTGAAAATTTTATTCCACAGACAGACCACTGCCTGGGTGGTTTAGTAGAACATTAAGGGTATGACTACACTGCAATAAAACACCTGTGGCTGGCTTGTGTCACCTGACTCAGACTCACAGGGCTAGGGTTGTGGGGATATAAAATTGCAGTGTAGAGATCTGGGCTTGGGCTGGAGTTTGGGCTCTGGGACCCCTTATTAGAGTATTGACATATCCTATAATACTTTTTATCCTCCATCCCTAGGCACGCTCTTCACTGTCTTGTTTCTCACAGATCACTTCGGTTGACAAATAATCTGCCACATTCAGAAGAGAAAGAAAACAAAATCCTTTGTATTTTCCTCCAACATAGCATCTTCAAAATCTCAGACAGCACATTTGTTTTGGATGACAGAATGTCTGATAAATTCTAATGGTCTCATCTTAGTAGCTAGCTGGGTTCCTCTTACTGTGAGAAAACTATTTGTTATTATATGGACAAGATTGGTCAACTTAGAGATGGGCTCTCTGTTTCCATGGTGACCAAGCAAGGTCTCGAGGGAATAAAGTCCTAGTCTTGTTTGCTAGATCTTCAGCTGGTAATGCTCACTAAGTGTGACACTCTGTATCTCGGGGGAACACCCTGCACCCCCATGTTTATCCTTATAATCTGATTGTGTTGTATCCAATGCAAAGTTTGTCATGTCGGGTGTCTTCGGAAGGCTCATGATGCACTGAGCATTGTTGTTATAGTAATGTTATAGGTTGTAATTTCATGCTTATAGTTATGAGGCTGAAAATGTGTCCTCATGGCTTAAAACAAGCCCAGGAAAAACTCTCCAGAAACAGAGGGGCAGTTCACACCTTATCAGGGCACGTATGGGACAAACCATCCTCACCTCACAGGAACAAAGGACACTGGCCTAGGCAGCAACAAAGGATCTGTTGGACTCTCGAGTGAGTCACCTCCCTTCCCTTGGTCAGTCAGGGACTACGATGAGGTAATGCTCACCTGGCCTGGAAGTGTGTGGGCAAAGCCAAGAGGGAAGAAAGGACATGATAAAAGGGAAAGATGTTTGTGATGCTCTTTCTCTCTCTTCCACCTCCATGTACAGACACCACCACCAACGGACTTAAGCGCTGATCAAAGGGGAGAGCCTGGCTGAAGGGCAACCAGCCAGTCTGTGGTGAGAAGCACCTAAGTTTGTAAGGGCACTAAAAGTGTTAAGATTAGCTTAGAATATGTTTTACTTTTATTTCATTTGACCAAATCTGACTTGTGGTGCTTTGACTTATAATCACTTAAACTCTATCTTTTGTAGGTTAATACATTTATTTGTTTATTCCACCCAAAGCAGTTCATTTGGTTTAAAGCATGTCAGAGACTCCCCTTGGGATAACAAGCCTGGTACATATCAATTTCTTTGTTA